GGCTGCCCCATCCCTGGAGGGGTTCAAGGCCAGGCTGGATGGGGCTTTGAGCAACCTGGTCTGGTGGGAGGTGTCCCTGCCCAGGGCAGGGGGGTTGGAACTAGATGATCTTTAAGGTCCCTTCCAAGCCAAACCATGCCATGATTCTATGATCTGCACCACTGGGAGGGTGACACCAGATGGAGGGACAGCAGCGTCTGGGGCTGTCCTGCCTGTGGATGGGGCAGCTGCAGGCAAAGACCACCTCTGAGGGCCTTGGGAAGTGGCAAACATGGATGCTGTGTTTGGTGGCCCCCTGGAGATAGCCTGTGCTTTCACACTGCTCAGTTTCATCTATTCCCTGCAATCCTGTGATTTCTCCCTGCTTTTGCCCGCCTTTTTTTCTAGAGAGCCCTTTAAGGTTTTGACGGGGCTGCCTTTAGGGACAATGGTCAGAAGTGGAAGTGTGAGGAAGAAGGCCCAGAACTTCAGCAAGCCTTTCTTAGGCCACAGGAGAGTCCCGCTAAAGAACCTCAGTGCCTTCCTCAGGCTAACGCTTGGCTTCTGAAACTGAAGCTGGTAAAGTCTAAATAAATAAGGCCAAGTGCTTCACAGGGTAGAAACTTCTGCTTGAAAAATTTGTAATTACAAACCACTAAGAAGTAATGCAGAAAGCAGCAAGGTTTCCTATTCAAATTATTTATTGATTTTTTGATACAAAATACTGTTACAAATCTCTTTAGTGTTTCATGCTCAAAAAGGGGGCGTTATTAACAATTTAAAGATTTGTTCACTTCAAGACTTAAAGTTACTTTTTTAAACTCAGTAGATGAGGTACTTCTGTGTATCCATCGTATCCAAGTTATCCAAGTAACAAGACTGCAGGCAGGAACAGTCAGAAGAACAGAACCGAAGAAGCTGCTTTTACTGCTGGTTTATAATCACTGGTGATGGTGTGCGAGAAGGAAAGCACCCTGATTAGTTTCCCAGACTGACAGAAAAATAACAGGTTTTCTGAACAAAAACGTCTGACCCCCTTATAACAGTGAGAAGAATTTTTCCAGGCTGGAATCACACCCAATTGCATGCAGCCACCACAGATCTACAATACAATCGAAACTTACAGGTGCAAGCCAAGAGGACATCCAAACTGTATTTAGTCAGAAATTGGCACATTGAAGATACTAGTTCCAAAGACTAGAAGAAATGCTGAGTATTTACTCAGAGAACTAAATCTTGTACAATCATTTCATTACTAGATATTGCTAAATCAAAGCCAGCTTTGTTCTGCCTACATTAAGGTTGCTTTTATACCGCATTTTTGCCTTCCGATTGCCAAAGATGAGCCTAGTGACAAACAGCAGCAGTACCCTTTCCTACGAAATCTGGAGAGCTTTCAGTTAAAAAAAAAAATAAAATCACTCTTAATCACTCCTATTCAAACCTTTTGCGGTTTTGAAGAGAACGTTATAGTTTCACCTAGCTTTAAAATGGGCAGAGTGTGTCTTTCCATGGAAAAGTGGTACCTAATTGACCCAGCCTGCGACGTCAGCACGGGGGCTCTCATGGGACAAGGAGTTCAGTTGAGTTCTGTGGACAGGCTCTGCATTGTGAGTCCCTCAAGAGGGACAGAGTGAACCAGGCTTTTGATTTCCTGGGTCCAGGACTCATTTCACTCACGGACACTGTTCACAAGGTTGAGTGAAGAGGACGGGCGGTCTCTGGGCAGTAGGAGGAACACAACCCCTTCCACCTTTTGTGCAAAGCAAATTTGAAATCGGGTAAGCTGCTTTAATCTCTTTCAGTTCCTAGCACTACAGGCTTGGTTTGCTGAGGCGTCAAACTAAGGAGAGGTAGTTCTTTATGTGTGTGCAAATGTAATAACAACAAAAATTCCCAAATAATTTTATGGACTGCTTAGGCACAGAAGATGTTCAGTGCTGTGTTGTTCAACCTGCTTTTATCCTTAACAATAGGAATCATGTCTATTATCAAACAAGCAAGTAGTATATTCTACTTAACAAAAATTCCCAAATAATTTTATGGACTGCTTAGGCACAGAAGATGTTCAGTGCTGTGTTGTTCAACCTGCTTTTATCCTTAACAATAGGAACCATGTCTGTTATCAAACAAGCAAACAGTATTATATTCTACTTGCTTGGTAGATTTTTTTTACCTCTGTTTTCGCTAGTTGAAGTATTATTGTGGCAATTTTATCCTGAGGATAACTTAACTTTCCTATAGCAGTCTGATAAAGCAAATAGTATCCTTAAGTCATGGCTACTCCTAACCAGTAGGGTACAGATTTAGGGCAGCAACCTATACATGTGTTCCTACTGCCCATCTCCTAAATGAATTAGTTCCCTCTGGTGTTGGGATCCCTTGTGGAATGAGAATTCAGCTTTGCGGTTCTTCCTTGTTTTGTGAATATTGAAGTGGTTTCATGATTTTAAAAAGAACTAACTCCACAGATCCTTCTGACTTGTTCATACGTAAGCCAGAATACCAGTGACCAGGGAGCCTGTGAAAGCAAACACTGAAGTTAGATACTTAAAATCTCGTATTATGTCTTTCATACAAATATTATAGTGTTGCATATGGTTAAGGTTACCCAGTCCTTCACAGAACACCTAAAACTTTTTTTTCCAGCTTGCCAAGCCAGAAATGTTTGATTTGAAATGTTTCATACTTGGGGGCTACATCAGGCTGAATGCTGAATTTTTTTTTTTAATTTTTTTTGGCAGGGTTTACTTGTTCTAAAACCTTAATCAGAAAATTAGATGGTTCCCATTGCATTAAATTTATGTCCTGCACCCATTTAGTTGATCAGAAAATTAGATGGTTCCCATTGCATTACATTTTATGTCCTGCACCCATTTAGATGCTCTAATTATTATTGGTGTTTGGCAAAAGGCTGCCTTGTTCCTAGGAAACACCTTTTCCTGCTCATCTGAAACACTTGCTAAACATTCCCAAAATTGCAAGCCTTTGGGAAATCTATGTTGGTGTACGGTCCATGAAAATTTTTTTGCTTAGTAGTAAACTCGCAAAGACCCCATCAATAGTGAATGTGCTCCTGCTCAGGGACACGGGGACTGAGCAAGAGCAGAACCTTCCTACAACTGCTCTTACCAGAGGCTGTGGCCACTGTTGTACTCAGCTAAATTAGAGAGGGGAGGCTTTTGGCTTCCATCTTCATGCTCAATCTGGCAAGTTAAGCAGTTGCAAGACCTTGGAGACAGCTGCCAGATTCTAGACTTAGCCATATTGTTATTCTTACGGAATTTAAAAAAAAAAAAAAAAGAAAAGGAATTGTCCCTTGCCCACACTAACAGTCCAAGTTCCAGTTTCCAGGCTCCAACTGCTTTTTGGCTCAATTATGCAGATGTAGCTTTAACAGCCCAGCAGGACACAGGAAAAAGCCACTGGCCTGAACACGAGAGGGGCAAAAGTGAGATCTGGGATGGAGCAGTAATAAAGCAATTCTGGGAGCAGGAGAGGAGGAAAGAAACAGGAATGTGATGGGACTCCAGGGCTGGGAACAAGAAGGGAACAAAGGAAGAGTTTAGGAAGGGAAAGAGGAGGGAGCCTGACATTGTAAAAAAAGCAAGGAAAATCACTAGCAATTACGCAGAACAGCATTTTCCAAATTAAAGAGATGCAAGAGACAGCGTGGAGGAAGGGGCACAGCATGCAGTTGTGTCATCCACTGCATTCAACTATGCAATTAATACGAGAGACCCAAATAGTTTGGGAATAGTGTGTTGACACAGAAAGACCTCCTTACATTTTAATGCCACGTTGTTCAACTGCCTTGTAAAGAGAGTTAAAAGGGACTTACCATTCGCATCCAGGTCGGTACGAAGCCTTTGTAAAGAGACATAAACCCTTCGCCCTGCACAGTTTGAATCAAGCAGTCCATGGAAGACTTGTACAGCAGACCTCTAGCAGCGTGCAAGGAGAACAAATACTGTTAGGATTATTAATAGGCAATTTAAAAAAATCTATCCCTCCCCCTCAAAAAAATAATCTATATCAGATAAATTTCTACAAGCAAGAGCTCTTTGGAGCTCACTGGAGTCTCATCAGAACTCAAATCTGCTGGAGTAACGGGGTGTGCTTAGGTGGCCATCAAAACACCCCTCAGACACTAAAATGATCATCAGAAAGACAAAGAGCAAATTAGCACCTCTAAAGATCAGATTAAACTAAGCACCTCTCTCCCAGTGAAATCAGTGAGACTCAGGGTTTCAATTTTCTACCAAAAAGTCGGTCTCTGAGGTGTCCGTACCTCCCCTGCTTATCTCTGGGCTGGTTCATTATCCGGGTTTTGACCACGTCAGCAGGAGTTCCCAGAACAGCAGCCACCAGGCCAGAACAGGCACTGTCAACAGCAACAGATGCTTAAAGAAGAGACTAAGATTCATCACGGCAATTTAAGCATCGTGTTTCCAGTTCTAATAGTATATGATATAATGTATTACAACAGTTATCATAAAATCATGGGTGATATCTCATAACTTAACATCAACTTGATTTGGGAGGAGGTTCTTGCTCAGATGTCCTCCCAGCACCAGCTTCCCTCACCTCTGTGTGTAATCCTGAGGCAGGGATAAAGGACCTGCCACAGGCAATTTATGATACGAAGAAGTATTACAACAGTTATCATAAAATCATGGGTGATATCTCATAACTTAACATCAACTTGATTTGGGAGGAGGTTCTTGCTCAGATGTCCTCCCAGCACCAGCTTCCCTCACCTCTGTGTGTAATCCTGAGGCAGGGATAAAGGACCTGCCACAGGCAATTTATGATACGAAGTTATTTTAGCTGTTTATATAAAGCAGATTTCTTCATAATTTAAGGGAGTAAAAGTTCTGCAGAGTTTGTATTGTTCTGCAGAGTTTGCTAAACTTAAAACTAGGTCAGATGAAATAGTAGCAATTCTAGAAAAGTGAAAATTCCTGTGCTGTCACAGATCTGTGAGGTGTTTGGATGCACCAGCAAGGCCCTTCTAGTGAGGGCAGTTTTGTAGCTGTGGTTGCATCCTTGGTGTGGTGTCCTTTGTACCAAAATATCCTCTGAGGCAAAAAAAAGAGTCAGAAAGGTGCATTTTATCAACGGGACCACCACCAAAGAACGGGGGCTTCTGCTGGCACAGAGAGGCAGCTCAAGACAACGAGGTTGGAAATGTTCTGCAGCAGAAGAGGGGTAATTGGGGAACATGGCACCTGGCAACGCTGTGAGTCACGCTGTTGTCCACAAGCGGCGTGTTCAGAAGCAAAAAGTGTTTCACTGAGTCATAAGTGGTGAGATCTGTAAGGAGGATAATGAGAAAAAAACAACATTTTCAGAAGTAAATGGTGTGTGTTCATCACTGCTGTGGATTAGGTTTGGCAAAACCTAAATTTCCAGTGCAGCTCCTCCCATTGGCACAGCTAGTGCTCTGCCCCCAGTTTCTGGTGACGGTTGGGGCACCTAGGTCCTGTCGTTAGACATCTGAGCATATGCTCCCTTCTACTACTGTCTTCTCTGATTTGCCCTACAAATGATAAAATGGATCCCAAATGGAGAATTCTGCAAAATAACTCATTAACCAAACCCAGAAACACCATGATAAGGACGGTTCTACCTCTCCCACCTCTGTGCAAGTGTTATGAAAATGTTAGAAATGTTAAACAGAAAAAGTAGATGATGGTGTGGAAGTTATATCATGTTCTGTATGTGCAAAGAGTGAGGGCTTCTTAGATAGCCAAAAACTTGGGCAGCCATTTCACCTTATAACCCTCGGTCCCTGCCTGAACTACACTGTAGGTGCACCTGTCTGCAGCTCCATCACACCATGCCTGGGCTGTGGACCTCATTGATCTGGACACTGACCCATGGACCTTCTCCCTAGCTCAACCTTGGACCTTTCTTATCACCATGGACCTACCTATCACCCTCACCAGACCTGATACTGGTTCAGCTTCCTGGCTTGGCGTCAAACATGCTTTATCACCACATGCTTTCCTCAGGATCTGGATCTTGGTGGAACCTGGCTGCCTTCACTGGCTCTGCCCTGCTCACCTTGCTTGGGCACCAGGCAGAAGTCACTTGCAGTGACCTTCAAAGAGGTCCCCAGTGTAGATAACCAAGAGACGAAGACCAGGGGATCAGCTGAAGTCTCCTTAAAGCTTAGATGTGGCCTTAAGCGCTGCAGACCAAGTTATGAAATTTACCTCCCATGTTCACCAGAGCAGCTCTCTGGACATTGGGCACCCATCCAGCCCAAAGTCCTCGTATTCCTCCTTCGGACAGGATCTTCATAAATGCGTGGTGCACCCCTCGAAACCTGAAATTAATAGGCAACCAATGGGTAGAGAGACCAGCTATGGAAAAATCTTTGCATATTCCAGCACATTGCTGGGCCAGGTCCTCGCACAGGAAAGGCAATTTATAATTGCGAGGGTCTGGCCCTCCATATCCCTTTTTTGGTTCATTTTTTTGATCCATCTTTGACCTTCGTGCCATGATATTTTACAAAATGTACCGGTTGCCCTTGGTGAGCAGCAATCTGCTCACTAACAACAGCCACCCCTTTGATCCCACAGCTGTGTGGCAATACCAACTGTACGAGACACCAAGGGATGCCAGCAGTTACAGATGCAAAGAGCAGTTACGGATGCAGGAGGGTCTCAAGCCCTGCTGTCTTGAGGTGACCCAGCCCTTCCCCAGGCCTGTGCATCCTGCACAAGCCATTTCCCCCATCCTTTCTCCCAGCTTCCCTTCAGAAAGCATCCTTCCCTCCTCCAGCAGAGCGCTGGCACGGACGTGCTGCCCATATAGGATGGGCCAGGGTTTGTGGTCTCTGGAACCGATACATCAGCACAAGGAAGGCAAATATAAATGGAATGAGGAGGAAGTCTCGGATCCCCCACACTCTTCACTGCCCAGAGCCATCGCGTGCCTCCTGGGCATTGCTCTTCCCCAAAAGGGCTCCGAGCAGCTGGAGAGAGGGGGTGGCATAAAACAGAAAGAACTGCACCCTCAGCCAAAGAGTAAATCATTAACAGGAAAAAACTGCCAGCTGCGAGGGGAACCAACCGTAACGGCTTTCCTTCCAACTTCCTTTTCCCTTCCATCTGCATCTGCACCTTCACCAGATCAGTCGGGCTGGCGAAAAACTGTCCGATGGCACCTGCAGTCATGCCTCCAACTACAGCTTTCCTGCCAAACAGGGGGAAAACAAAAAAAAAGTCTTCCAGAATACACTGAAAATCTTCACAAATTGCAGTGCTGGAGCTAAAGGGTTGAGCAGCATGACCCAGGTGAAACAAGCGTTAAATAGTTATTCTTTATATTAACAGCCAAAGTTAGGGTAATAATTGTGTCCAGTTCTGGGCTCTCCCCAGTTCAAGAAGGACAGGAGAGGGGACAGCAGAGGGCTACAAAGATGATGAGGGGCCTGGAGCATCTCTCTTATGAGGAAAGGCTGAGGGACTTGGGTCTTTTTAGCCTGAGGGGGGATCTTATCAATGCCTATAAATACTTAAAGGGAGGGTGTCAAGAGGACGGGGCCAGTCTTCTTTCAGTGGTGCCCAGGGATAGGACACGAGGAAATGGGCACAAACTTGAACATAAGAAGTTCCATCTAAACATGAGAAGGAACTTCTTCTCTTTGAAGATGGCAGAGCCCTGGAGACATTCAAACCCTCCTGGACACGTTCCTGTGCAACCTGCTCTGGGTGGACCTGCTTTGGCAGGGGGTTGGACTAGATGATCTCCAGAGGTCCCTGCCAACCCCATATCATTCTGTGATTCTGTAATTGTGGTGACTGCAGGTAATTAAGGTAGTCAGTAATATTTTTGTCCATTTTAAGAAGTGGTTAAAACTCATCTGGAAAAAACTTCAATTATTATCCATCAGCAGGGTGCCCTGCTTTCTCTGCAGGTTACATTATGCTCCTCACATAGGGTTTAAAGGCAGGATGGCAATGCACACGAGTAAAGCAGACAAATATGGTGCTCCATATATTATCATGAGTGAATGCCAACCTAAAGCTCTAAACTGCTTGCTGATATATAAAACTTTTCTTTATCTCCCATTGCTACTAGACGAGTTGTGTTAATTTTCTGGTTCTGCTTATTTTAGTAGAGCCAGCAATTTTAGTATTATCCCAAGTTCCCCCTTCCTACAGCATCAGGCATGACAAGTACTTCATCTGTATTAGATTTTATAAATCCCATCTTAAAAACAGTTACATTTCGGACCCAAGGTTTTAAGGTTTGAACAATTATAAGGTTTTAACAATTAGAAATTACCAAATTTTGCAAAACTTACAGAAAAATTTGCTTCATTCCCCACAGGCAAGGAGTTAATTCTGTGGCTACGTACTGCCTGCGTTGTCAAAATGGGGTTGGATGAGATTTAACTAGTGCTGAATTGAATTTGTGAAACCAAGACTTTGGGGTTGTTTTTTTTTTTCTGGGGATCAGTTGTCTTTTCAGGAAGGATGCACAGACTTAACTTAGGGTGACAACTGCCGTACACACAGGAACAAAATAGTGTCTTTTCCTTCACAATCTGCCTCTTCAGTAGCCAAGAAATTTCCATCTCCTGGCCCAAAATGCACCACTAGAATCATCAAACCGGCCAATTCTCATGCTCCTTGTTAATGGTGGCATAATAATTTCTGACCCAGGCAGCACGTCAAGCCTTCTGATCACTTTTGTGTTTCCTCTGGACCCGTTCCAACAAGCCCATGTCTTTCTTTGCTGAGGCCCCAGAGCAGAGCAGAGGGGCAGGATCCCCTCCCTTGCCCTGCTGGCCACGCTGCTGGGGATGCAGCCCAGGATACAGTTGACTTTCTGGGCTGTGGGCACACCTTGTTGAGCTCCTCATCAACCAACACCTCCAGGTCCTCCTCCTCAGGGCTGCTCTCAAGCTGCTCTCTGCCCAGCGTGTATTCGTGAGTTGACTTTCTGGGCTGTGGGCACACCTTGTTGAGCTCCTCATCAACCAACACCTCCAGGTTCTCCTCCTCAGGGCTGCTCTCAAGCTGTTCTCTGCCCAGTGTGTATTTGTGATTGCCCTGACCCAGGTGCAGGACCTTGCACTTGGCCTTGTAATATTTAAATATTTCTTAGTCCTGCTCCCAGCTGAATGAAAAGACGCTGCTCTGAAACTAAAGTCAGATGGTGCTTAAACCCCTACTTTGTATTAACCCTCTTTAGGGCAGGTGAGCATTAGGTCCTGGTCTGATTGTTGGTCTGGGAGGGGTTGTAGGGCTGCAGGACTCCTACAGTAAGGACAATCCCCAAACAGGCAAAAGCATAAATATGCAACATTACCAGAAAGGAAAGCTTTCATCCTCGGACCTGCCAAGCACGGAGTCACGGAGATGTTCGTACGCGACCATCCGAACGCCGGAGTACACTGTGGAAAACAAAAGCAGGAGATGATTCTTGGAGTTCTGCCCTTTCTGGAGGACACGCTGCGACAGAGAGATCAAGAGATGGGGTGTAAACCACTCCAGATCTTGCCTGGGTCAGCTGGTTGCGTCTCTCCCACTCCTGATCAAAGTGGGGAAAGCGAGGGGGCTGCCTGGCAGCAAAGCTACAGCCAGAACTTCTTAGTGTTGGAGAATCTCTCTGCTGAGCCCTGTGTCTGCCAGGAGGCAGCAGGGTTGATGCCCTCATGCCCAGGAGAGGCAACCATGTTGCTTCCCTCTCAGCTGCTGCCAAGCACAAAGCCTCCCGCAAGCGCTTCTGAGGTTTGTTGCTGTCACCGTATTTCCAAATAAAACACAGAAAGCGGTTACCTGGGGCCAAACCACTAATGCATTTCTTCATCCTCCCGCTTGCAACTTTATCCTTTTCTCTAAGCCCATCCCCACTTCCCTCAAATAAAAGGTATTTATTGTTCTGAGGACTCTGAGTGCCTGCGTGCGCTGAAAACCTTCCTGCTCAAACCACAGGGAAATCATATTTTGTTTTGCCAGAAGCCAGATTAAGGCTGTGAAGGAATGGGGAAGAGAGGGAAACGAGGACATCGAGCCAGAATCCTATATATTTCGCAACCACAGGGAAATCATATTTTGTTTTGCCAGAAGCCAGATTAAGGCTGTGAAGGAATGGGGAAGAGAGGACATTGAGCCAGAATCCTATATATTTCCAAGTGGGATCGCAGGGTAGACTGAAGAAGTCCTCGCAGATACATTTAAAGTACAAGAAGATATGGCAAGCTCGCACCAAAAGGCTGTTGGCCTACAGAAGGTGGGACCCAAGCAGATAATCACCTATGTGGCGGTAGACGGCTGGCGTGGCTCCTTGCCAGAGCTTTCCTAAGCCCTCCTCTCGCACGATGCCCGCGGCGGTGCGCAGCATGCCACGGTAAGGGACCGCCTGGCCACCAGCAGCTCCGCTGCCACGGACCGCAGCTTCACCTTGGACCTGCAGCCGAGTTTTCGTGAGATCCAGGGGAAATGTTACTGAAGAAAAACAGCAGGGAATATACGTGAATATGGGAATTACTACCTACCGCGCTGGTGACATCTGGCCACAAAAATCATGCTTAGCCTAATATCGGGTTGGAAGGGACCTCTGGAGATCATGTAGTCCAAACCCCTGCCAAAGCAGGTCCACCCAGAGCAGGTTGCACAGGAACGTGTCCAGGCGGGTTTTGAACGTCTCCAGAGAAGGAGACTCCACCACCTCCCTGGGCAGCCTCTTCCAGGGCTCTGCCACCCTCAAAGGGAAGAAGTTCCTCCTCATGTGTAGGTGGAGCTTCTTATATTCAAGTTTGTACCCGTTTCCTCTTGTCCTGTCACTGGGCACCACTAGAAAAAAGACTGGCCCCATCCTCTTGACACCCTCTCTTTAAATATTTATAAGCATTGATCAGATCCCATTTCTCTCACTGAAATAACTGGTGGCCGGGGAAGGTGGTCTACCTCAATCTCAGCTTCCCAGGGGTGCTCCTTGAGCATCGTGGGCACATAATTGCTGCTGCTAATTTCAGTTCCAGGCCAGAGGTGCCTCAGGCTGTGAGCTCCCAGGAGCAAGGGTTGTCTTTGGTTCAATATCTATGCAACACACCACGCTACAGGGTCCTTCCAGAGCAGGACTCGGTGATATCAGGGGAATGCAGTCAAAGCCTCAGCAGATTGACACTCTATTTGTACATTAAGTTAGGTATTCATGTTTAAAGGTTACCAAAGATGGAGAAGTTTCAAATCATTACAGCAATGCAACCAGTTTGCCTGTAAGAGCTTGTAGAAATTATATAGGATATTAAGAAGTATTACAAATAAGTTATTGATCACAGAGCAGTGCAAGGCAGATGCCAGGGTACTTCTTTCCTGCGTTTCAGCCAGCAGTTTACTGTACTGCATTTTTAGAGACATCTCACTGTAACCAGAAACGTAAGATTTGATTTTTTCTTTGCTTAACCTGCACTTTTTAGAGACATCTCACTGTAACCAGAAACCTAAGATTCGATTTTTTTCTTTGCTTAACCTGCATTAGCTATGCAAAGCCCATTCCTGAAGAAGTCAGCCCCTTTGCCACAAACTTAGATGATCATCCTGCCTCTAGTTTTCCTCCCGAAACCCAGCAAGCTCAAAATTTACATTAGGCACGACTGCTCTGTTGCGACTGCAGCCCTTGGGTCTTGGAGGCAAAGATTTGGACTTGAAAAAAAAAAATACCACCCCTCCCTCCAGGCACAGTCAGGTGGCATAAAACACTTGCAAGGCTAAAATTATTGAAAAGTCACGAGGAGCAGAGTGGAACGAACAGATTTGCTGGAGCAGAAAAGCCGGAGCGAACACCGAGGGAACGAGGCATCCGGGGGCTGAAATTCCCCCTGCCCTCCCCGTAAGTAAATGTTGACCCCCTTCCCTCTCGGAAAATCCCGGTGAAGCTGTACCTAGTTCTGCCACAGCCGCCGCACAGGCTGACAGAGCGAATTTGCTGGCTCGGGGCCATCTCTCTGGAAGAGGTAAGCTCTTCTCTTCTTCTGCAGGTGACATCTAGCGTCTAACATGAAGCAAGGCTAAAACCGGCCACCCCCCGAAGCTCTGGAGGAACAAGCAGACCCTAGCTCAGATCTCCTCCGGCTCCTTTAGAAGACAAATTGCTGAAGGTCATGGTTTTCCAGCGCCGGCACCAGGATCCGCAGCGTGTCTCCTGCCGAGCTGCCAGGTCCTTGTGCGGTGACACAGGGGACTCCCACCAACAGCCTCCTGGGAAATGTAGTCTTTTACCGGCACTTCCCGGTGCCAGGGAGCCAGCAGTGCAGGTACAGCCACACGCACAGTTTAGCCAGCAGTGCAGGTACAGCCACACGCACAATTTTACCAGTTATCTACAATAAAAAAAAAAAATAAAATAATAAAAATAATAAAAAAAAATAATAAAAAATAAATACATCCTTAACGAGACCTCAAGATTATGAGAACATTATGAGAACAAGGCCAAGTGCCAGGTCCTGCACTTCAGACACAACAACCCCCTGCAGCGCTACAGGCTGGGGGCAGAGTGGCTGGAGAGCTGCTGGGCAGAAAAGGACCTGGGGGTGTTGGTCAACTGTTGGCTGAACATGAGCCAGCAGTGTGCCCAGGTAGCCAAGAAAGCCAACAGCATCCTGGCCTGTATCAGGAACAGCGTGGCGAGTAGGGCCCGAGAGGTGATTGTCCCCCTGTACTCAGCACTGGTGAGGCCTCACCTTGAGGGCTGTGTCCAGTTTTGGGCCCCCTACCATAAAAAAGACATTGGGGTGCTGGAGCGGGTCCAGAGAAGGGCGACAAAGATGGTGAGGGGTCTGGAGAATAAGTCTTATGAGGAGAGGCTGAGGGAGCTGGGGTTATTCAGCCTGGAGAAGAGGAGGCTGAGGGGAGACCTTATTGCTCTCTACAACTCCCTGAAAGGAGGGTGTAGAGAGGTGGGGGTCGGTCTCTTTTCTCAAGTCACAGGCAACAGGACAAGAGGAAATGGCCTCAAGTTGCGCCAGGGGAGGTTCAGGCTGGATATTAGGAAAATTTTTTTCACTGAAAGGGTTGTCAGCCATTGGAATGGGCTGCCCAGGGAGGTGGTTGAGGCACCATCCCTGGAGGTGTTCAAAAGATGGGTTGATGTAGTGCTGGGAGGTCTGGTTTAGTGATGATGCTCCTTGTTTGTTGTGTGGGTGTCTATTTTTGTCAGTTAGGTTGACGGTTGGACAAGATGATCTTTAAGGTCCCTTCCAACCTAGAAGATTCTGTGATTCTGTGATTATCGGGGTCTGTTTGCTGTCATTGACAGCAGCACCTCGGGAGCCTCAAACTGCATCCCTGCCCAGGAACCCGGGAGGAATGAATTGATCCAGATCTGGTTGAAGGAAAGCTGCGTTACCACGATGCCAGGCTGGAGAGCTGGCTTCCCAGTGCTTGTAGTAACTCACATCTCCCAGGCATTAGGCACAGAGCAGCACAGTTTGTGGCAACAAACCCAGGAAGACAGAAGCCAATCTCTGCCCAAAGACCCGTATGTGAAAATTTTAAAGCTTTTCCTGGCCGAATGCTGAAGCCTTGTTAATTATGTGCCAGTCCTAATTTCTCTTAAATTAATGTAGGCATATTTAGGTTCTCATCATGAAAAAAAAAATAAAAATTAAGGCACATATTTAGGTTCTCATCATGAAAAAAAAAAAATAAAAATTAAGGCATGTGCTGTTCAAGAGAAGCTTTTCATTTATCATTAAGGCTCAGCTGAGTCGCTAAGTTAATCATTAGCCATTAATCACTAATCCTCATGTAGAGGATCTGAGGATTTTTTTAGGTCACAGAAACTTAGCTCTGAACAACCCCCTGCCCCCCCTGTCTGACTAACAGTTTGGTGTGCAGCCCAGGTGGCAACAATTCAGGGAAATGAAGCGATCACTGCAGGTGAAATATTCAGCTAAAGTGAGCCAAATTCATCTGGTGGGTCACCAGTAACCAGTTTGAAATGAGATCCTTCTTTGGGCCAGAATTTATCAGAATTCAGGCAGTAATGGGACACTGCTGACAACCCCCTGATTAAAATGGGAAGGAGATGTATTGCCATGAAATGCTGACGTGCCCAGCTGTACTGAGGGTACGAGCAGTGCAGGGCCAGACTCTGGGCACTTTATGCCATTTGCTGTTACTGCTTTTGTGCCTCCCTCCATAGCTGTTTTCCAGGCTTGGATCAGCTTGTGCCACCGTATTTCAGCCTGTATATCATGGGTTGGTAGCATAATTTAGGGCAGAGAGGACCTCTAGAGGTCATCTAGTACGCTCCTCTGCTCGGAGCAGGGGTAGCTTCAGAGTTACATCAGGTTGCCCAGGAACTTGTTTGGTCACCTTCTGAAAACCTTCTGAGGATGAAGATTTCGCAACCGCATCCTGCTCCGGTGTTTTGCCAATTTGTGAACATCTTTCCCTTATATTCAGTCAGAATATCCAATGTTGCATCTTATGTCCATTGCCTCTCCTCCCTTAGATGTACACCTCTGGGGACAGTCTGATTGTCTTCTCTATAACTGCGTTAGGGGGTGGAAGACAACAGCTAGATCCCTCCTTAAAATAAACCCCACAGCATTGTGGCACCCTATGGGGAGAACAGTTCATGCTGATCATTTTTAGTCTGGGGAAATACGTTATTTTTTTAAACCAGACTGCTCTGGGGATGGCAGCACAGAAAAGTTTTCTCTTCCCACAGGATATTTGAAATGAGGCTGACCTGGAGGCAGACACTCACATAGACATCTCTGATTCGGGGAGCAGAGAGGGGCCTTTAGCTCTTTTATCACTGTTACCCCGTGTGAGAACCCGACAGAAAAATAAGACCAACAATCGGACTAGGACCTAACATCCCTCTATAGGAAAAAAAATAATTTCTTTACTGTGAAGAAAGAAGAAATTCTTTATTGTCAGGGTGGTGAGACACTGGAACAGGTTGCCCAGAGAAGCTGTGGCTGCCCCATCCCTGGAGGGGTTCAAGCCCAGGCTGGATGGGGCTTGGAGCAACCTGGTCTGGTGGGAGGTGTCCCTGCCCAGGGCAGGGGGTTGGAACTGGATGATCTTTAGGGTCCTTTCCAATCCAAACCATTCTGTGATTCTATGATTATAGGGGCCACCAGCAGGTTTTGAATTGCCAGTTCAGCCTCTGAAGCCTTTCTCTGCTCCTCAAACACTGAACACACATCGAGCCTTTAAAGAGGTGATCTCAGAAAGGAGAGAGAGAACCTTTCCTAAGCCTTACTGCTTCAGGTGGTGCCTGCAGAAGTTTCTCACTGCCTGCCTGGCTGGAAGCTAAACGTCTGCTAAATCACAGCCTCTCTGCTTTGGAATCCCGATGTTGCCAAAACATATTTCTTTTTTTTTTTTTTAAGGGAAGAAAGCCACAGGCTGCTTTGCCAGAGTGCCCCTGGCTGCTTGGGTAGCCCTGCGGCAACTGGTGCAAAGTTCAAGGGTTTATCACGGCACCATCTGAGTTTTGCAAGCCGGGGAGTTGGGCCCGGTCCAGGAGAGGAGGACAATTGGCTCTGCCTCCTCCAAAACAAGGGCTTGTCCTCTGGGCTTTGCTTGGTGCTTTGACGTCTCGTCTCCATGGCAGTGATCAGCTGGCAGGGCTGATAAAAGAGGCCCTATTCATTGACTCCAGCGCGGGGGTGCCGGGTGCTGCGGGCAGCGAAGAGGCGAAATGGTTCTGGCTCTCCTCTTGGCAGCCCTCCTGGGACTTCTCCTTGTCAAGGCTGTTTTGTCTCAGCTGAGAAACCCAAGCTCCCCTCCTTGCATCAGGGGCTGGATCCCTTGGTTCGGAGCTGCCTTTCAGTTTGGGAAAGCTCCTCTGGAGTTTATAGAGGAAGCTAGAAGCAAGGTAATGGCCGTGGCGGCGTGCCTGCTCGTGGGTGCGTGCTCAGGGTGGCTGCCTGCGAGGGGAAAAGGCAAGGAGAAACTTCTGCTTTACGTTTGCTCCTTTCCTGTCACATTTTATAACTTCAGAAGCTGGTGAAGGATAAGCTTTGCACCAGTAGCGTTGCTGAGTTGTGGATGCGATCCAGGCGTGATCCCTGTGCTGGGATCGTCCTGCCTGCACCCAGCACCTCTGCTGTTTTGCTTTTGCACTCTGGCTGCCTCTTAATCTTGGTTTCAGATAAAGTGGAAAGCCCTGTGCCAGGCGCTGGGACCAGGAGACTAATTATTTGTGCGCCTGAAGTTAGATGAGGTTTCTGGAGTCCCTCAACATTCGAGAGAGGCACAGGCATTCTTGGCAGGAAACTTTTGCCATCCCAAAAAACTTACGAAAGACAACTGTGAAAATTTACCCCCTGGACACACCTTTCTTTCTCTGTGTCTGATACCGAGAGCCTAAATGATTAATTTAAATTAGATGCTTAATTTCTAGGCAGCTAATGCTAACTGCCATAAACCCCATCTTCCCATTTGGTGATGATATGACCTGCTACTGGTGCAATGCAGTCAACTTCAGGTGTTCAAAACTGAAGGATTGCACACCCCAGGAAAAGCTAACTAAAACTGAAACCACTATAACATCCTGAAATTTGAAAAAAAAAATGTTAATAACCACTGGATGTTTATAATTTTTTCTTTCTCAACTGTTAGATTGCATTCCTTCTTTGCAGCCATGGTTGTTAAACTCATAGTGTTAAATGAAAGCAGAGGTTCAAGTATAATCAGCTGAAGTATGAGGTGTAAGAACATTGAGAGCTGTGAGTCTTGTATTAGTGGACATTGGGTGCACCTTAGAGTAAGCTCATGTGTATGATCTGGAGTTCCTTGCCTTCTTTGAGTTTAACAGGCTGGCTTTAGCCTTATATTGCTACGTCCTTCCTGTGTCATTCATCTGTGCAAACCATGGTCAGTTACTTGTTCACTCATCTTAGGGCAGAAGTGTAGGACTGGAAGAAAACTTATTCCAGTCCATTCTCCTACTATTTCAGAAACCATGGCACATAGTCCTTTAAATAAACTGATCGAGCCTCACTTAAAAAAGAAAAATCGTAATATTTCTTTGACTCTTCTGATACGAGGCTGTTAGAGAACCTCCTTGTTCTATTGAAAACAAGTCCTGGTGGCAACCAGATTAAAACAGCCTGGCAAACTGTCCTGTCCAGTGCAATGCTTTTTGGGAACAGAATTGGGGTGGTTCATTCTGGAGAAAAGGAGGCTGAGGGGAGGCCTTATCCCTCTCTGCAACTCCCTGCAAGGAGGGTGTAGAGAGGTGGGGGTCGGTCTCTTCTCCCAAGTAACAGGCAATAGAACAAGAGGAAATGGC